GAGGTCTGCTGTGCCATGTGGGTCAGCTCCCTGGTCAGGGATTGAACTCATGCTGCAGTGGTTGCTGACAGAGTGATAAGGCTGAAACTTCTCCCTTGTATCACTAGGGAGGACTTACAAATGTTTTTATTTATACTCTATCACCTGCTTGTGAAAAAAAAAAAATTTCAGGTGCTTTACAACCCCCAAATAAATATTTACAATATTTAGAACACAAGAATACACAGAATAAGATTTAATATATATAGGTAGATAGATACATACATACATGCACATAGGAGTGGGTGTAGACCAGAGGTACGGTGGAGGGGGCGTGGAGAAGAGGATCCACCAGAGAAAGTGGGGAGCAGAACAGGAGGATGTATTGAAATACATGGCTGAGGGGGGCAGTTGGCAAGACAGGAGAGGTCTGCTGCACCATGTGGGTCTGCTCCCTGGTTGGGGATTGAGGACAGGGTGATAGTGCTGAGACTCAACCCCTAGGCCACCAGGGAAGCCCAACACGCAGGATAAGATTTAACAAAAAGTGGGGCCCTCCCTGGCGGTGCAGTGGGTTAAAGCCCAGCACTAAGAAATGAAAGCCACTTCATGAGTGCGATCCCCGCCCCGGAGGTGACCCACACGGCACGGCAGACCTCTCCTGACCCACCTGCTGCTCCCCTCAGCAGTGTACTTCATCGGTCAGCCTGTTCTGCTCCCCACTCTGTCTGGTGAATCCCCTCACTGCCCCTCTCACTCACCTCTGGCCTGTACCCCAGCTCTGTATGCAGAAATAAATAAGTGAATCTTAAAAAAAAATTTAACAAAAAGTTAGAACACAGAAGAGGAGAGTGCCAGGACCTTTAGGTCTCTATAATAGCACACTTTTAGGTGTGAGATTTCCGGTCAAGGCAAACAGTAACCACATGGAGTTACTTGGACTTCTACACTGAAATTAGCTCTGCCATACTCTGCATAGCATCTTCAAGGATTTAGACTAACAATATTGGGGCTGTATTTTTTTTTTTAACTTTGTTCTGGTAAGAGAAGGAAATTTATTTTTTTATGACACACCATTATTTTACATCCGTATTTGTTTCTCCACAGTGTGGGTGGCCTTTCCTCAGGTATGGACCCTTAGTTTTCCCACCAAAGCTCCCATAGTCTCCACCACAGTCCCGTTTTCTTCCTTCTCTCACTCCCACCATCTTCCACTCCCCTCCTTGATGCTTCAATCTCTGATCACTCAGTTTAGCCTTATCTGATGCTGTGTTTGGTTCCTCTGTATTCCACATAAGTGAAGCCATCTGGTATTTATCTTTCTCCTGGTTCACATCACTTAAGATAACCCATTGCAGTTGCGTCCATGTTGCTGCAAATGGCATGAGTTTACCTAGGGATTCGAATGGACGTCACTTTCCAGGGTCTTCTGTGTGTTTTAATAGGAGCATGAGTCCTTAAAGTTGTTTCTACAGTTACTAAAATGTAGGGTCTAAGTATTTTTCCCTTGTCTAATGGCAGCTTCATTCAGAAGAGAACTCTGGGGATAGGATAGTGAACATACTTTGGATGTTTCCAGACTTGATGAACATCAGAATTTTGTGGAAATTAAAAAAAAATATACAGACCCCTGGGTCCCATATGGAGATCTATTTATACTTTTAAAACCTCCAGGGAGTCTGATGACCAGCTGGTTTGAAAATAGTTACCTCACCCTCACCAACGGCAGCAGTTCCCTCTGAGTTACTGGTGAGCTGGCCCAATTCCTGCCTGAAATTTAGATGCCAATTCTAAGGTGCAAGTCTAACAATGTTCAGGAAACATTGGTTAACATTCAGAAAATTACTGTGTTCTTGTCCCTAGGTAAAAGTTAGAGAAATTTCCAAGTAGAGTCAGTTTTTTTTCCCCTTGGTTAAAAAAAAAACAAAACCCAACAACATTCTGCATCTGTTTATGCCATTTGCTAAGTATTTGGTTAAAGCCTCCATCCCTATAAAAGACAACACAATTTAACCATCCAGACTGGAACACTGTTGAGCAAAAAATGGGGGTTTCTTATACTAACCTGGTACCCTGGGACACCAGTCATGACACTCGTCATAAAACGTTTCTCCATATAATTTTGCTGTACATGAGTTTTTCATTAAACCAGTGGTCACAAATGCACTTGCGTGAAAAGGACAGGGGGCAACATACATTCGACTTGAGGGTGAGGTAATAAAATGAGTAGCTTCGGGAATGATAGGTGACAACTGGCACTAGGTTTCTCTGTTGGCAATAGGTGGTGGTGGGGACTGTGGCTACATGAAGGCCTATGCCTCATCTCAAGAGAATGGAAGCTCATCTGTTGGTGCTAGTTGTTGCCCGAAGGGAATCTAGTTCCACAGTTGCCAAGTTTTCTGATTTTTCACAAACTGAGAATCTAGGGGTTTGTGTAAAATTTGCCATCATGTGAATATTGACAAATTAAGTAGTAAAAAAAAAAAAAAAAAAAAGCAAAGGTTGTAGGTTGAATTTATTAGTTCTCTAGCTTTCAAACTTGATCTTGGCAGTTAAAGGAACCCATTTGACTATCAATAGAACATGTCATTTTAGGTGGAACCACATCCTGGCAGGTAAATGGGTACGGCAGCTCACAGTGGGTGGCTTAGAGCCTGATGGCACAGTCCTTCAATGGGTCAGCTGCCTTTCAGAGGAGGCTACTATCAGGTAATCTCCTTAACTTCCGTAGAACTAAGCTTTAGTGTTGTTTCCTAGTTGTAAGTGGGCATTTGAGACAGCTGCTACATTTAAATACCTTTGTTGTTCCCTATTGTTTTTCAGCTAAAATAAAATCATTACAAAAAGAAAATACAGGACTCCTAGGGCCTAGTCTGTGTTTACAGCCCTATCACTGACCTCTCCCTTTACTTCTTGTGTTTCATGTCTGCTTGTCTGTATGATGTTCCTGTAATTTGGCTGCTGCTTTCTCGTCTCAGCTGCCTTTGCAGAGTTTTAAGCAATACCACCTCCTCCAGGGAGTCTTCCCTGATTTCACTTTTAGGCTCTTGTTGCCACTTTACTTCTAACACAGTACTCCAGCTGCCTCCCCAGAGATGGTGAGTCCTCTGATGGGAGACACTGTCCTTTTCATATCTGTGTTCTAGCACCTTATGTGATTCCCAAAATCTACAAAGATTGGCTGTCAAACAGAAGCTGAGGCAGCATGCTCTGCCTGCATCATCTCATGTTATCCACAAACATCTTGCTGAGGTCAGGGCTTTCATAAATGAGAAGAGTGAGGCACACAGAGGTGAAACACTTTACCAAAGACACAAATCACAAGGGGCAGCAACTGGCCATCTGACTTCAGAAGCCACATCCTCTTTTTTTTTTTTTAGATTTATTTATTTATGCATACAAGAACTGGAGTACAGGCCAGAAATACAATGATTCACCAGAGTCAGCATGGGGAGAAGAACAGGCAGACTGACAAAGTTCATTGCTGAGAAGAACAGCGGGCTGGTCAGGAGAGGTCTGCCGCGACATGTGGTCACCTCCGGGGCAGGGATTGAACTTGCACCTAAGCAGTGTGGCCAGCTTCATATGCTGTGCGTTAAACTGCTGCGTCATCAAGGAGGGCCCCATTTAGTGCTTTAGAGGTAGGTTGGAGAAAGCAGGAGAGCTCCTTTATGGTCCTGTTCTGTACTACTTCAAAGTGAAATTCTCCTCAAAACCTTGTGTGCCCAGGAGCCTGGCAGGAATGCCCAAGCTTTCAAAGATGCAGTAGGAACGTACAGTATTGGGCAGCTGTAGAGGCAAACTCCTGAACTGAGTGTTTTTTGGGGCTGAAGGGAAGGTGAGGAAGACATGGGTGGTGTGCCTAGCCCCATTTATTCTTGTGCTGTAAGAGTTCTCTGGCCTGGAGTATGGTCTCTGGGGAAGAAAGTTGGAAGATTTTTAAGGATATCCATTGAACTTGTGGGCTTGTTTCTTTGGGGGGGGGGAATATAAAAAATAAATATAAAAAAAGATTCCTTTTTTAGAAATCAAAGATGACTCCATTGTGAGCTGGATTTGATGGAAATGAAGTGTCTAGAGGAAATGAGAATAGACGGTGTGGCTTGCTGGGTTACAGGGCCCCACGGCCTGCCACTCCCTAACTATGTAATCAGGCAAACGACTTCACCCCAGTTCTTCTATTGCCTCATCTGTAGTGGTGCAAATAATAATGCCTACCCGGTAGCCCTGCATGATGCAAATATTTAAACTGTGCTTGGCACCTAGAAGCACCTACTAACTGTTGCTGGTTGTCATGATTCACGTGTTCGATGACGTGAGTGTGGCATGAGTGCTGGGGGGCACCATGTGATGCGCGAGCCCACCAGAGACACAATCACACGTCTTGTGTCGATCACAGCACAGGCGCCACTTTAACTCTGGACTTCTCTTTGGCTCTGCTTGTTGCATGGTGGAAAAGCCAAGAGGCTATGGAATTTGGAATGAGGAACCTGGTTTCAAATTCAGGCTTAAACCTGCAGCTGTGTGAACTTGAATCAGTCACTTTTCCTCATCTACGAAATTATTGTGTCGTCTCACACAGGAGAGTGTATGTGAATGGACTTTGTAAAAGGCAAGTCTGATAATTTACTTAAATCTATTTTATTTCCCCAAAAGGTGATAGTTCCTAAAGGAACGTGAACTTAAATCTGTTTGTGTGCATTTCGTCAGATGATGTTGTCTTGTAACTTTCTGAGATTTCCTTTGGCTTCCTAGTGGTTTACCTTAAAAACAATCAGGCTGAAAGATAGGATGCCAGGCCTGCATTACTCAGGCTCTGAGCTCTGGAGGCTGGTTGTAGCTTGTCTGGGACCTGTCGGGATATGCTGAGCAGAGATGCCTCTCCCACAAGGCTGTTTGAAACGAGTGCTGGAAATTCCGGAGTTCTTAGCAGCTGAGCCCATGAAATTAGGAAGATAACCTCTATTTTCATCTTCTCAAATTCACCCCCCCCCCAGCTTTCCATGTCATCATTTCAGGTTTACGAGTGGTCACATTCCAGAATAATCAAGTTGAGGGAAATGATTATTTGATTACTCTTACAATTGTCAGTTTTTTTTTTTTAAAGATTTTATTCACATAGAACTGGGGTACAGGCCAGAGATGCAAAGGGTGAGAGGATTCACCAGAGACAGAGCAGGGAGCAGAATAGGCAGATTGATGAAATACACTGCTGAGGGGAGCAGAGGGCGGGTCAGGAGAGGTCTGCCACGCCATGTGGATCTCCTCTGGGGCAGGCGGGGATCGAACTCATGCTGAAGCGACGTTAGCTTCTGAGTGCTGTGCTTTAACCCGCTGCGCCAACAGAGAGGGCCCAACAATTGTCAGTTTTTATAGTATAAAACAAAACTGCACAATCACATTTAACATCAGTAGGTATTTGTTGAGTACCTACTATGTGCCAGTCACTGTGCTATGCACTGGGGACATGGCACAAAAGGCAGACAAAATGCCATCCTCACACACCTTACCAATGAGTAGGCTCTTGGACAGTCATTAAACCCGCAGAACAGCTGCTATGAAGGACAGAGTGTGTTAGAAGGATGACAGGATTTTGGGCTGGGAACAGGGAAGCCTTTTCCGAGAAAGGTCATTAAGCAGAGACTGTGGGCGGGGAAGGTAACCAGGCAAAGGTCCAGCAGGTGTGGCGGTCCTGAAATCAGTACCAGGAATGGCAGGATGAGGGTGGCAAGGGAGGTGTGTTCCTTAGAAACTTTATTACCGATGTGGTCATGCAAACGAGTTCATCAGCCAGGCTGCTTTTCTGGGAGATAGGGTTTGCCAACCCACAATCATCGCCAGTTATGAAAAAAATGGTCCTTGGGGCCCCTGTTGAGACGGGATAGACATACCGTCATACCAGATCAGTGTTCCCAGGGAGACGGGCAGAGGAGAGAGAAACTGGGTTTGATTTCAGGTACTAGGAGGCTCAGTGTAGAGAGGGGAGCAGCCTGTGCTTCGCCACAGAAAAATGCCTTTTCCCAGTGACTGGGCAACAGGGTCGGACCCTTGGCTCAGAGGCTTTCCTCATCCGAAAGCCAGATCTCTGGTAAACAGATGATGGGAAAGCCAGAGAGGAAGGTTAGCGGGTCAGGATCTCTGCACTGGTTTCCACATCCTGCTACATTCCAGGAGAGTTTTGTCTGATAAAGTCACAGCATGTTTGAGCCTGAAGGGACCGCAGGGATTGAGTCATCCACCCATTATCTCACAGGGTCCTGATGGGGGCTGGATGGGGATGGCCGCATCACGCTAGCCCCGGCAGGGGGTTCACCCCGTGTGCTTTCGCTTTGGTGAGGGTCAGCTGGAAACTGCTGCAGACAGCACCAGAGGGGGAAATGGGGCTCGGCCCTGGCACTGTTGGGTGCCTTGGGGAGCCCCTTTGCCGTGGGTCAGCTGATGGAGACACCGTGTGTCACAAGGTCCCCCTTCGTTGCCTCTCAGGGGCCAAGGACCTCCAAGAAGAGGCCGGACCCAGTGGGTGCTGAGTCTGCCAGGACAGTCAATACGCTCTTCCTGTGACTTGGCAACACCAGCTGCTTCTGGGGCATCTGCAACTCCTAACAAGGGAGGTCTTTTTTTTTTTTTTTTTTATAACAGTTTATTTTACATTTTTACATTTTTTTCCCATCTCAATTGTAGTCCCCGCTGGTTTCCCATCACCAAGTCACCCATGTGCCATCACCATAATCCTGTGCACTTCCCTCACAAGGGAGGTCTTTTAAGGTCAAAGTCATGGGCTGACCAGGATGATAGTAATATATTTAGTAGACCTTGGTTTAGGAAATGCCTGAAAGTAAAAAGCTAACGAGCTTAGGAGTGTTAGAAAATGAGTCAGTGCTTTGTCTATCATGCAGCCTCTGTATTCACTTGAAAAATAGCATGCAAGGCTACAGGTTCGTTCAGTCCACACTCCCATGCTCTGCGAGCCCAGGTCTGCCCAAGTGTTGCTCTCGCCGTGGGAGCCACTGGTTTAGAAGCATCAGTGTGCAGAAAGCCAGCTGTCTGCTGAGAGGACCTTGGTCATAGTCAGCGTCTCTGGTGAAGGATATGAACCAACATAAACCCCAACTATCATAGTTTTAAATATTGTTTATTGCTTTAAAATGTTTTTATAATAGTTTATTTTTACATCATTTTGTGCCTTTTCCCATCTCAGTTGTAATCCCCATAGGCTTCCCACCACCCATTCACCCATGTGCCATGCATTCCCCCCACCCCCATTTTTTATCCCATTCCCCACTCCACCCCAATAAAATGTCTCTGGTTCATAGTTATTCATTCCCCCTGCCCCGGTCCTTTATGCTCCTTCTGTGAGTACAACCATTTGGAATTTTTCTTTCTGGCTTATTTCACTAAGCATGATCCCTTTCAGCTCCATCCATGTTGCTGCATGGCATGAGTTTATCTTTTTTGATTGCTGAATAATATTCCATTGTGTATATGTGCCACATCTTTTTATTCTAGTCATCTACTTTTGGGTATTTTGGGTTGATTCCATGTCTTTCTATTGTAAATCAAGCAACATGTTTATTGCTTTTTTCAAGTACAGAAGGAGTTCAAGTTCCTTCTGAAAGACAAAAACATTACAGACGTATCTGAAATTTGGTGTGCCTTGAATTTTATTCTGTGCATAAAAAATACAGGTTAAGATTTTTATAGAAATAGGATGTTACTATACAGAATGTTTTAAAAAATATAACTGGTGAGTTGTTTTAGGAAAACAAGAGGTAGGAGTCTGGTTCATGGGTACAGTCCTGGGTCTGTAATGTGCAACCACACAGTAACAGCAGGACTAGTAACACCAGTGGCAGGCCAGCTGGGTGCCCTGAAGTCACAGATCTTTGTAAACCTCAGATTCCTGGTCCCTAAAATGGGTCTGTTCCTTGTCCTCCTTTCTCACAGGTTGCTGGAAGGATGCAATGAGATGTTATATGGAAAAGAACTTTTGGAAACCCAACATATTATACAAATATAGTTATCTAAATGAATGATTTCAGCCTGCATATATTTTTCAAAGCATGTCAGAAATACTTCACCCTGCAGGGTAACTTGGTTTCCTTGTAGACAAATAATAATCATCCTGCTCTTTCCTTTCCCCAGGTCACTCCTGGAAGCAAGGCTGCTATAGCTAATTTATGTATTGGAGATATAATCACAGCCATCGATGGGGAAAATGCCAGCAATATGACGCACTTGGAAGCTCAGAACAAAATTAAGGGCTGTGGGGACAACATGACTCTCACAATAACCAGGTAACACCTGTGGCAGTGCTCATGCATTTGTTTTTCTTTCTTTTTTTTTATTTATGCATACAAGAACTGGGGTACAGCCAGAGGTGCAGGGATGAGAGGATGCACCAGAGACAGAAGCAGAATAGGTGACTTTATTGAAATACACTGCTGAGGAGATCTGCAGGCGAGACAGGAAAGGTCTGCTGTGCCTTGTGGGTCAGCTCCCTGGCCAGGAATCGAACCCATGCTGCAGTAGCTGTGGACAACTTCATAATGCTGTGCTTTAAACACTGCCACCAGGAAGGGCCATGCTGGTTCACTTCTGATCCCCGGAAGCTGCTTGTGAACAAGAGCTGCCTCATCTCACTCAGAATCCCTAGCTGTGGGTCCTGCAGGCAGGCCAGACACCTGTGGAGTTAGGATATTTTCCTCTCTAATTTTTAGAGCTTCTCATAGCATGAACACCTTCCTCTAAGATAAGTGCAATTTGCTTGGTCCAACACAACTAACCAACATTTCTGGGAAGTAAAATCACTTACATGCTGTCAGATTAAAGGAAATTAATATTTCTTCCTGGAAACCATGGAGAATGTACTTAGGGTGCTGCTCCTGTTATACAAGGCTGAGCAGAGGGTGCGATGCCAGGTGATTCCAATCGTGGAGAAAGACTTCACTTTGGACTACACTGGGTGTCGCTTTAAGTGTCTGGCATATTAGGAGGGCTGGGGTTGGGTGTTCTCAACAGGCTGCAAGCGAGGAGAGCGTGTGGGGAGTGGCAATAGGATCAAATTCCTGTTCTTTCCCGAGTCCTGGAAGGGGTTCTGCAGGGGCACGATTCAGGAGCCATCTGATTCCTTCATGGCTCCTGATTTCCTGCTGGATCAGGCTTAGTTTTCATTCTGGTCTTCATGAACATGCCCTTGAACATCTTGTTTGTCTTAGCTTTCACAGTTCTTCATCAAGCTTTGCTCAGGTTGTCATTGTGAACTAGGTTCGGCTCTCCTACTTTCTTCCACAGGACTGGAGGAGGGACCAAAGACAGGGCAGGACATCAGATATTCTGTACACCTCAGACCTTCGGGGAGGTACACCCTGCTCTTGTTGACACTTATTATGCTTATTATTAACAACACATGTACCCCTCATTCTTGGCTCCTAGTTTTGACTCAGTCCAAATCCTCTCCTGTAAGCCCTAGTCAAGATGTACATTCATTCATCCACTCATTCATTCATTCACTCATCCACTCATTCATTCACTCGTTCATCCACTCATTCATTCATTCACTTATTCACTCATTCATTCTTGATTGATTTACCATAGGTCAAGCAGGTGCATCTTCTGTGTATCTAGGACAATGCCAGGTACTCTTATAACATACAAATATTCTCTATCCATAAGAGCAAAAAGCACCACTAGATTTGGCTATATGAGTGGTGCAAGGAAATCCTTCACCCATTCCAAAAGGGAGCATCACTTTGACTTGGGACAGACTGGCTTCAGGGTGTCTGCACTGGGTGTAGAGAGGAGAAGCTTGCTCCATTCTGAGCAGGCCTAGGAGGCAGCATGGCCGAGTGTCAGGACACAGGAAGGAGGATGAGGCTGGATGTCCCAGCAGCCTGGGCAATCCCAGGGGCCAAACGTGGGCAGCCAGCTGGACTGATCAGATCGATGTTTTCAGATTGATGTTTCCAGCCAGCTGGACTTATCAGATCGATGTTGCCATGTTGGTGGCAAAATGGAGGGAAAGGCAGTAGCAGAGGGCTAGCTCAGAGGCTACTGGTCAGAGAAGAGAGGGCATTTTCCTCCTGGTTTTGTTCTATACTACCTAGCATGAATGGAACAACACTTTTGTCAATCTGTTGCAGATCTGAATTTAAACCATGGTCTCCTTTGGTGACAGAAGAAGGGAAACGTCATCCATACAAGATGAATTTAGCCTCTGAACCCCAAGTGAGTACTTGCTCCCCATTGCACTTCTCTCACTCCCCAGCCCCATTTCTGCATTGACACAGCTCAGCACGCTCACGGTTTTTCCTGCCCTGGAAGCCTGGGAGATCCCTCCCCGAACATTTGGGACCTGGCTCTCATTCCATTCTTCCCGTAAGGGAACTGGGGGAGGGAGGGCTGGAAAACCCCGTGGCCATGACACTGTGGCCTGGGGCTGGAAGCAGGGGGCAGGAGGTGCACCAGGAAGAGGGCGGAAGGCTTCCTGTCCACTTAAGAGTGGCAGGCCCGTCACACCAGGAGCTGACGCAGCTCATCACGGGTTTCAGATCCAGTGAGGGCCCGGAGGCGTCAAGCCCAGAGGGACTAAGGGGCCATTTAATTGCAATCTCTACTTCTCTTCCCAGCATCTGTTTTCCATGAGCTTTAGGGTGGAAATTTCTAGTTTTGTCACAGTGAGACTCTTCTAGTGAGATCTTAATATGACTAAAGTACGGCGGTGGTTCATACTGAAAGATATGGCAGGGAGTTGGTACCTAACTTTTGGCTGAACAGAATTTCCGGTCCTAAAATCCCCTATTTATTTGTAAGTAAATGTCTCAATAGATTATTTTCTCTTGATCTCAGTTGTATTTTCTGAATAATCTATAGTAAATGGATAGTCTTTTGAAGTAGGAGGGAAAGTTTAAAGTATTGTTAGAACACATCTTTGTGAAAGTACTGATACCTAATATGCTACTTTTCACACGATATATGTGTTGGATAAATTAATGAGTTATTGATGAAAAGTTAATAAGCTGATAATGACATTTAAAGACTTCTTTTAATGAAGTCTCAAGGTTGGTTGGTTTGTGACTATTATACATTTAGCCCCAATTGAAGATTTGAACTTGAATTTCTTTTCTGAATTTGGGAACACTTACTGTTTTTATGGTGAATTGCGGTATAATCCAAACAGCACATATAGCTATCTTTTAGCTATAAAGCAGAATCTTATATGAGTGAATTCCTTTGGATAACCTGATGTAGGTAAAACAGTTACCTGTCACTCAATATTTTCTCAAAAAGCTTCCCCTAAGATGTCAAAAATATGATAACAATTTTTTTTCCATTAATGTGAAAATCAGATACCAAGAATCCTAAGAGTCACTTTAAGGATCATTTTGTGTCTGCTGTTTCAAAATGATGCAGACTTCTTTTTCCCAGTAATTCCTCTAGGAAAGTTCATAAAATGACCCTCAGTCTAGAAACAGGTAGTTGTACAAACTAATTTAAATGTGCTACCATTAACTCCAGTTCCCCAGGGAGTTGTTAGCCACTTTATTAAATTTTTGATAATTAAGTTTTCATGTAAATTCTCATGTGTTATTGTAGAATGATTTTGTTTTATTTTGATCTATCTAAAGTCCAAGTTAGCACTTAAAAAAGTGCTAAATCTGGGCCCTCCCTGGTGGCGCAGCAGGTTAAAGCACAGCATTAAGAAGCTAAAGCCACTTCAGCACGAGTTCGATCCCTGCCCCGGAGGTGACCCACAGGGTGTGGCAGACCTCTCCTGACCTGCCCGCTGCTCCCCTCAGCAGTGTTCTTCCTCAGTCCACCTGTTCTGCTCCCCACTCTGTCTCTGGTGAATCCTCTCACTGCCCCTGCACCTCTGACCGGTACCCCAGTTCTGTATGCATAAATAAATAAATCTTTTTTTAAAATGTGCTAAATCTTAAAATTAATAATAGTTTTTATGAGTATTATATTGGAATTTTCATCAAACACATAACCTGTCTTAATATTCTAAAGGTTGTGCTCGTCAGATTAAAAATTTTCTCAAATACTTTAACATCCAACTTGAGTATGTTTTTTGTTGATTTCAATAATTCTTTGTTCATATGAAAAACTTCCCCACCTCTCATTTCTCCTGAATCTTCCACTTCCAGTCATTCTAAAATAAAAGAATGAGTAAGAGCAGAGTTCATTTATAATTAAAAGTTCTGTTAGTTCATGTAATGCCAACCAACACCCCAGCTTATCTGAGGTCAGTGTAGTTACACACCTAGTTTATATTTCCTCATTATTGAGTTTCCTTGGAGACTGATAAATACAAAGGCCAAACAATTACATCATCCCTTCCAACAGGCAGGCCCTGAATTAACTGCTTGACTTCTGGACAGACCAGTGTTCACATGGGATTAGAGATACTCCTTTTATGTACAAAACAGATATATCCTTGGAAGGTTCTCAATAAACTGAAAACCAGTGTCCTGCTGCCTTCCATTCTGATGGGAAAGGTGCTGCTGTGGAGAAGGAAACACAGGCTGGCGTGTGTGCTGTGTGCCAGGCACTGAACCTGGCACCCTCATCTTTCCCTCCAAGTGCTCGGGAGGGAGGGTGGGCGGGCTTGCTTTACATCGTTTTAAAGATGAGGAAATGGCTCAGAGAGGTATAGCTTGCTCCCAAAGCTGAACAGGAAGTGACAGGGAACAATCAAACAAGATGAGAGAATAAGAGCTCTTGCGCAGTTTTCTGTGCCGCCCTAAGGCGGGTTGCGGAGGTTGGGGGAGGACGCTGCAGCTGTGCTGTCTGGGAGTGGGCAGGCCCCATCTGCAGGCCTGCTGCTGTGAACAACTCCCAGCATTCTGCAGAGAAGTGCCATAACACTTATTGAACGGTGTAAGTGTAGTTCTTTAATTCTGTGGTTCCTGCTAAAGTTATGTTCTTAACTCCCCAAACTTCCCCTTTTGCAAATTATCTGTGTGTGTCTTTTTCCCAATGTGAGCAAAGTCAGCTCAGCATAATTTTACATTAATACCTCACCCTTCAACTTGTTGGAGAGGAAGCCTGTCTGAAGGGTGGAAAGGTCATCTCAGTCGTAAAGTCATTTTCATGTTGTCAGTGAATAAAGCTGTTTGTTGTCATCATCCGGGAGACTGAGAAAGAATGGAAGATGTGGAGGATTAGCAGAAAAATAAAATAGGAAACTCTTTTGGGAAGGTTTTATGATGAAAGAGAAGTAGATTCAGAGGGTCTCTGGAGAACCCAGGAAATAGGATGGCTTCACAGAGCATACAGGGCTCTGGCACCCTTGGCTGGTCCCAACATTTCCCTGTGGAAAGCACTGTGCTAACGGAGCATCAGAAAAGCCATGCTTATTGAAAAGAAGAGTGTTCATTTAAGAAGTTGCTTTGGGTATAAAGAAGTGTGGAGATGGTGTATTTGTAATCCTCCAGATGGGGGCTGGGGCTGCGGCTGGGGCCGCTGCTGGGGCCGGGGCCGGGGCCGGGCCTGGGCCTGGACACCTCCTTAACTTCCAGAGGAGGGGAATGAGCCTGGAGCAACTCAAAGCTCTTCTGGCAGTTTCCCTGGCCCTACCTTCCTTCTGATCAACCTAGTCTTTCTCCCACAGGAAACAACAGATCCTCAATTCTCTCAGCCCCAGTTACCAGCTCTGAGCCCTCTGACTGTTCAGCAGCTGCTTGGCAAGGATACCTCAGTCCTCTTATCTGATTTGTGTAGCCCGCCCTCTTCTGGGGAATTAATCACCGCCTTTCATCTTCTGCTTTGCACAGACCCAAGAGATAGCCTGTTCTCATCCCAGTACCCTAATTCCTCTGGAAGGTGTTTCAGCTCTGACTTGCATTCTGACAGCCCAGGGCCTCTAGGGGTGCCCTGCCCCAGGGTATGCAGCAGGGCCTTTGGGCTTTCCTGGGCCTCCGGAGAGGAGCACGGCTCACACAGGTGTCCATCTCTCAGGCTTCCGCACGCATTGCCCCGTGTCTGGTTGTCTGGAGAGCCCTACAGCGAAAGCGAGGTGCTGGGCGACCACCACTGCAGCCCAGGTGGGACTCCCTCCTACAGCTCAGCCAGCTGTGGCCATCGGGTGTATGTGGGGGGGTCCCCCTGACCACTCCTCTGACCCTCCCTGCAGGAGGTCCTGCATATAGGAAGCGCCCACAACCGGAGCGCCATGCCCTTCACCGCCTCCTTGGCCTCCAGCTCTGCTCCCAGGGTCATCACACAGCAATACAACAACCCAGCCGGCCTCTACTCCGCGGAAAACATCTCCAACTTCAACAACGCCTTGGAGTCAAAGGTTGCAGCTAGCGGGGAGGAGGCCAGCAGCAGAGTGTAAGTCAGCCTCGCATGCTCTTCCAGGTCCGCCCTGGAGGGGCCTCCTCAACTAGCCTGGGCCAGTCCAGGCAGGTGGTACAGGGGTCAGTCACCATCCCAGGAGAAAAATGTCTCCACTGGCACATACGTTTTCCTTTCAATTACTCATTTCTAAAAGGGTACGAACACCTGTCTTTTAGGGCTGTTCTAGAAAGAAGTCACATGTCTGCACTCATTGGTAGACTGTTCCGGGGACCCATGCACTGGCTCCTGTGGTCATCATCTTGTACGAGACCCTGCACCTCTCCTGGGAGCCCTGAGAAACTCTTCTATAGTTATAGTTTGCAGTTTCTGCTTGTGTTCACCATCTGATCTGGTGAAGTTGTGTTTGCTTTGGCTCCCAAAGTGGCTTAATGGCATATTAGAGAGTAACCTTGAATGTTTATATCTCGTGGCAGAAGCAGGCTGGCCTGAGGGAGGGGAGGTGCTGCAGGTGCACAGTGCGGAGGTCCTAAGGGGGTGTGTTTGCTCAAGAGAGGGTAGGGCTGAGCCCCTCTGTCACAGGCCATGTGATTACAGCTGCCTCTCAGTCTTTATCCAAAACACCTTTTTTTTTTCTTTCTTTTTTTTTTAATCAATCCTTTATCACTAGTTTTTTGTGAGAAATTTTTTTCCCCAATTAGTGGGCTGCCTGTTTTTTGTAATATCTCTTTCGCTATACAGAAGCTCTTTAACTTGATGTAGTCCCATCTATTTATCATTGCCTTCACTATCATGACATTGGGTGTTCTATCTTTAAAGATGTCACTGAAGTGTATGTCGTGTAGTGTTTGGCCCATCTTTGCTTCTAGGTATTTTATGGTTTCCATTCTTATGTCTAGGTCTTTAATCCACTTCAAGTTGATTTTTGTGTATGGAGAGGTAGTGATCTAGTTTCATTTTTTTTTTTTTTTTGCATGTAGCATCCCAGTTTTCCCAGCACTATTTGCTGAACAAACTTTCTTTGTTCCATTGTATCTTCTTTGCTCCTTTGTCAAAAATTAGCTGTCCATAAACTTGTGAGTTTATATCTGGGTTTTCTATTTGAGTCCACTGGTTTGTATGTCTAGTCTTGTTCCAGGACCATGCAGTTTTGATTATTATGGCTTTGTAGTATAGCTTGAAGTTTGGGATTGTAATGCCTCCATTCTGTTTTTGCTTAGACATGAGGGTTTTAGCTATTTGAGGTCTTTTGTTGTTCCATATGAATCTCATCAATATTTTTTTTCTATTTCTTTGAAAAATGTCATTGAGATTTTTATTGGGATGGCATTAAATCTGTATATTGCTTTAGGTAGGATGGCCATTCTGATGATGTTAATTCTCCCAATCCATGAGCAGGGGATGTCTTTCCATTTCATGGTGCCAAAATACCTTCCAGAGCTTTCCTGCAGATGAGCCCCAGTCTGTCCCATCCCATACTCCACGAAGATGAATCCAGAGACTGTACTATCTCAGCCTGGGACACAGAACTAGAGGGAGTGTGGAGAGTCAGAGGTGGGGCCCATGCTCTGTGGCTGGAAAGTGAATGGACAAGGTTGGTGTTGCCACCTCCATTGCCCAAAGGTAGCAGAGAGGGTGAGGGCCCAGAGGCTGAGCTGTGTGCAGTAGAGGGAATAGAGGAGCATGACAGCTGGCCTGTGCAGAGGGGTTTGCTCTTTGGCTCTGGTTATAAGACAAATAGGCCTGGGATTCTCATTTCTGCTGATAAATGTCATGCAAAGGGTAATCAGAAATCATCTTTTATTTGAAATCTGATTTTGAAGTGTTGGTGACCTTCACAAGTGCTGGAAAAAACTACATGGTCCAAACTTGGATGATCACTAATAATCATTCCTGCTTGGAATCTTCAGTTGTTGTTTTATAAAGATTTATTTATGAGCTAGGGTAGACAGAGGTCCAGGTGGTGGGAGGACTCACCAGACATGTAGTGGGGAGCAGAATAGGCCCATCAACTGAAATACACTGCTGAGGGGAGCAGTAGTTGAGACAGCAGAGGTCTGCTGTCCCTGGGTGGGCATCGAACTCATGCTGCAGTGGCTGCAGATAGCTTCACAGAGCTGCACTTTAACCCATTGCAACAGCAGGGAGGCCCCAGTCCTCAGTTCTTATATTAACTCTGAAGCACATTTTGCTGTTCAGTTGACCTCCATTTCATTTTTAACAAGAGTCTGTCCAGCTCCCAGGGTGAGTACATTGCAAATGAATTGCTTTAAATGCAGGGTAGCAGTGGTCAAAGTTCCAGCACACACCACTTAAAGGTGTGCAAAGGGTCGTCATTGGGAGCCCCTCTGAGTGCTTCTCTGTGGTACCCTGCATTTAGTTCTCTTTCCTCAAGATATTATTCAGCCCCCCAGTGCATGAGTGTCCAGCACTGAGACGACCCTAATTTTCTGTTAAGTTTCCCAGTCAGTAGGGGAGACTTTGTGATGTGACTCTGGCTAGGCAAAAATGGTCACTGGCCTTAATCATGTTAATCAAGGCGAAGTGGCTACTGATGCTGCTTCTACCTCCAAATTCTGGCTCCTGCAAGGCCTTGCTATGTTGAGGTGATGATATACTTTGAAGCGACTGAGGGGGCTTGAGGCTGCCACGCTGGGTGTCCCCAGCTTTGCTGTTAAGAGTTTTCTCTCAGACGGCACAGTAAGGAGCTGAGTGGCGGAAACACCATGATCGGTGTGTTTTGGTGCTGGAGGAGGCTGTGAACGTGACCCTCTTTTGCTGTCCTACAGTGGAATGTTCTGTGATCTGGATTTAATAACCCAGGAAATGACACATCCTTAATTGAAAGAGCAGCTATGCATTGGGAAAAATGTGTGCCAGAGAAATATTTTTAGTATGGCCTTGGCTGTTATTTCTCCATTAATGTCTTCTTTGTTGTCTGATGCTCCCCTCAATCTGAAACAATTAAATCTGAACTTGTCTGGCTGCTGTGCCAGCCTTTTGTGTAGGCCCTGTCCCCGCCTGCCATAGATGTGTCTGGGCCTTTATCAAAACTCCCTTCTGGGTGTTCTCACTAGAGGAACCCTGCTTCAGACTAGAACCCTCCCAAACGCTTGAGGATGAATCCCCAGGCAGTGGAGATTCTATAGGAATGCTTGGAATTAAATTTTTCTATTTCTGAAAAAACTGTCACTGGGTGTTTTTAGGGGCTGTATTAAATCTGCACATCATTTGTAGTGTTGACATAACAAAATGAAAACAAATGAAATCAATCAATGAAATCATCCAATCCACAATGAAATCATCCAATCCACAGATGTGGCGTCTTTCATTTCTTTATTCCATTTCTTATAATGTTGATCTTATAATGTTGGACCACAGAATCCCACGTCTGTTAATAGAAAGCCCAGAGGGCGGGACGGGGGTCCATGTGTCCAAGGGTCCATGTGTCCGGGGGTCCATGTGTCCAAGGGTCCATGTGTCCAAGGGTCCATGTGTCCAAGGGTCCATGTGTCCAAGGGTCCATGTGTCCAAGGGTCCATGTGTCCAAGGGATGGATGAGGTCAGAGGTTCGCCCTCTTCTGTGGCAGCCGCACGCAGCCGCACGCAGCCGCACGCAGCCGCACGCAGCCGCACCGCGGCGGGCATGTGAATGTGCAGCAGCCATTTTTCCTTTTAAAGCACACCTGCTGCAACATTCCTCGCCCCCACTCTGCGGGCCGTGGGCCTAGATTCCCCTCCTCCTCGCCGGAGCTGGGGGTACTGAGGAGGCTCGAACTCTAGCCCTCACACACTGAGGCTTTGAGCTTCAGCCCGCTCGGCTACCGAGGAGATCTTACCTGGAGAGGTTCAAAACGTCCTCTTGTAGACTATAGACTAATGAGCTGCTGATGGTTGCTGATGGTTGCCAATTGCCTGAAAACAAGGTCCCTTAGGCCCACCGGTATCTCCTCAGCCTAGCTCAGTTTTGTACTGAAAGCTTTCAGGAGGTCAATCTCAAAAAGAGATTCACAGCACTTGCGTGATGCTTGATGTAAGCTTAGTCTGCGAAATACAATCACTAGGTTTTAGGCTACACAGAGAGGCCTGTCTCTACCTCCTACATACTCGTAACTCCTACATACTCCTGATGAATGTACATTCTTTGCAGCTTAGAACATACCCACTCTCCAAGCGGCCTCATCATCGACAAAGAATCTGAGGTTTACAAGATGCTGCAGGAGAAGCAAGAGTTAAACGAGCCCCCGAAGCAGTCCACTTCATTCCTGGTTCTGCAGGAAATCCTGGAGTCGGAGGAGAAAGGTAAGGGACTGTGTGGTTTGGGACCCTCGTTCCAAGCAGGGCTGAGACTGCCCAGATCGCTCAGCGGCTCCCAGTAGGCAGAGCGAGCCCCTGTGCCTTGCGAGGCATGACTGTTACAGTGCCAAAAACTCTCCCAACAAATGAGTGACACAGCTGGGAATGGGTTCCTGGGGGGAGGGGGGGGGAACAGTAGGAGCTGAGGTCACTGAGTACCCTGTGGGGGGTCTGTCTGCCATTTGCTTGGTGCCCACATGCCACAGGTGCTTGGCAAGTGTGAGCAGGTGGCCAGGAGTACAGCCGCGGCTCGGGGAGAGCAGGTGCACCTGTACTAGGTGAGGGGGGGGGTTCGGTGTACCCCCCCTCCCCCGGGATAGAAAGCGCCTCCTGGGTGACCTCAGGCACACTGCTAAACTTGCTTCCTAGGCCCGTTTTCCCTTGTCACTCAAGGAGAAAACCCTTTTCCCCTAGTAACTGTAGGGCCAATCACATGTCATCAGCGATAGAAAATGCCCATTATGACTGGCACAGAGGAGGCACTTCGCCACTGTCACATTTGAAAGCGACTAGGGGCCCCAGTCCCAGTGAGCTTGTCCACGCTGTGTGTGTGTGTGTGTGTGTGTGTGTGTGTGTGTGCCGTGATGGCCAAGTTACTCTGCCGTGTACAAGTCTCACCCTGGGAGCGCTGTTGAGTGCTCTCTACTTAGTGTAGGAGCCCTGGCAGCCGCGGGTGTTGGAGGCATGCCTTTCCTCACCCTCAGGAAGGTCACCCCGAAGCACCTGTCCTCAGCTTACTCACCTCTGGCGGTTCCCAGCAGCAGCCTAGGTGCAGGGAGATTTTTCTGCAGTGAGGTTTCGTGCCCCCTCCCCCTGTGCCCGCCTGCGCAGACTTGGTGCTCTTGGCGGGGACACCCGGTGAAGCTGAGAGAGAGGCCCGCTTCCCAGGGGCTCCTGTGCTTGCTCAGGAAAGCCAGTAGGATCAGGGCCAAGCACCCCCTGGAGGGCGACTGCTCCTCAAGGCCTCCAGCTGCAGATTTGGCTTCCTGGGGTCCATTCTGAGCAAACACACCAGTGCCTCAGCTTGCTCCCCACAGTTGTATGGGTTTTTTGGAGAAAGTAGCAGTTTCATGAGCACAAAAAAATTAGGACACTTCTTCTTTTGGCTTGCATTACCTGTGCAGGGTGGAAGCCATAAGCCATACCGTGTTTATGCGGCCCAACAGACAGGACACTTGCAGGTCAACTTTGGATGACTGCTTTGTTAACACATGAGCAATCACAACACCCGCTTATATTTGAGATGAAATGGTCCAAGCTCAAGCCAGTGGCTTGGAAAGTGAAGGTAACTGGCATTCCAGAAGGTTCCTAGGGCAGCACTGCACCCAGGACCTGCCCCGGAACCACCGTGAGATCGTCAGCAAGTCGCTCTTCTCCCAGGGTTTTAGCATCTGCTTGTGTCCAGGTTCAGCATGGTGACCTAGTGGGTGGCTTCAAGCCACAGGGGAAGCTGGGCACCGCAGGTCAGGCGATAAGCCTCCCGATAAAGTCCTACCTCTGGATGAGGGTAAAGGTACTGGCTCCCTTAATTTTAATATTGCTCTGAATAAAATTCCAACATTTGCAGGGAGATGACTCTTAAAAGCTTACCATGAAATCTATATAACAAAAGGTACCGTCACAACCACTTGTGTGTCCAGCTTAGTGACATTAACACTTTCATGAGCTTCATCCTACTGTAGCAATAGTGTCAGATTTTTCTTGTTCCACATTAAGTGTACCTTAAATATTTATGTATACATATATCAGTTATATGCAACATCTTGTCAACAGTCCATGTATTGGAGGAGGCTCTAAACGAGCAGAGTCTTGGCCAGCGACATTGTGAACTAGAAAACATGGTGGGAATGACACACTCCCAGATTAGGAAGCCGGACACATGCCTGAGTGGAGAGACTGCCGATGGTGCAGAGTGGTGATAGCAGATTTGGGTACCAGGCACAATGTGGAACCATGGAAAGGCAGGCCTGAAGGGATAGAAAAAGCCATGCTGAACTCATTTTTTTCCAAAACAATCATGAGAAGGAAGATCACTAGCAGGAATTTGGGAATTTTGGTAGTTGCCTTCAGTCTAAAACAACCTAATGTTTTCAATTCAGACTTTAGTTTCAAAGCGAAAATTATGACATATTCAGTTACTTTAAAAAAGTATAACTTTTTCTATTTCAGTTACATTGGTTTACAACTATGTATGTACAATGTTTTTGTACGAGCGACCTGAGAGGCGCAAGATGACATTTCATTGCAGCCCAGATGGTGAATAAATGAGAGGAAAGCTTGGCCAGCAGGTGGCGCTGCTGGACTGAACAAGTCTCCCTTTCAGCACAGCTGGTGTCCTGGCTGTGCCCACCTTCACCGTGGGCACAAAAGTCAATCAAGGCAAAAATGCAATATTTTTCCAAAAAAAAAAAAATCAAAATTAGGGCTATCCTAGTGGCTCAGGTGTTTCACTAGATTCACCTGTTCTGCTCCCCACTCTTTGGTGAATCCTTTTGCCACCCTTACACATACCTCTAGCCTGTCCCCAAGATCCTATATGCAGAGTAGAACTTTAAGAAACATAAAGCAATGCAAATTCTGAACACAGTTGGGAGTGTACTCAAATCGTGAAGGGAGGTTTGGTAGACACAAGAAGGGTACGCGGGCTCAGGGATACCACAGCCCAAAGCAGGTCCCCCGACGGCCTGAGCTAGGGGCAGCACCAAACTCTCCCATCTGTACACTTACAACTGAAAACCGTGGAAAACCTGGCGCCCGCTGTCCCTGCCAACAATCCACCTTTTCTCACATGCTGCCACGTGCATATCTGTGCTCAGCAGGTTCCCATGCCGCTTGGAAACCATCCCTGTCTGTCCTCTCTAAGGCAGCAAGTGCCCCCGCCCTGCCCACTCTTGACTTAGCCATGGGCTGCAGGAACGCAGGTGTTTCTCACATTCTCAGGGCTGCTGTTGGCTGTGACTCGGCCTTGCGCAAAACTGGACCTGGCCCCAGCCTCCTCCCAAGGCCAGCAGAGAGGCATCTCCCCTGCCGTCTACTCTTGGGATGCAGGGCGCCCAGGGTTGGGACCAAGCCACATAAGTACAGCCAGTGCCTTTGGCCCAAGAGCGCTGCTGTCTGTTTACCTTGCGTTTGCCCAAGCAAGTCAGAAGCCACAGTCTGAGGGGTGGGGTAATGATATCCACCGGTGTCCTGGCACTACTGAGCCCTCAGGCCGGTTAACACACGTGGGGGGCTGTTCTGTGCCCTTAGGGTGTGGAGCAGGGAAGCAGCTGTCCCTGAGGGGGCAAAATGACCTCCAGTAGACAGCCACTGCCCTGTTGGGTGGCATGGCTGGGGGGTGGGGGCAGGCACCGGTCCTGGGGACAAAATTCAGAGCCTCCCTACCCCTGGCTGACTCACCCCTGCTTAATGCATCCCAACACTTGCACTAGAAGCGCCACGTAACAGACTCACAAGATAGCCAGGACCCTGTCAGCCTCAGAACTGCACTTGTGGGGTGACCCTCTCCTCACCCCCTTACCTTCCTTATAAAGCCACTGTGTTGCTTTGCTTCTCATTGCGTCCAGTGGTTCTAAGACTGTGGTTCCTGGACCAGCAGCCTCAGCAGCACACCTCCTGAGAACAGGTTAGAAACGCAAGGCCCCAGATTCCGAGGGAAGGCCCAGGAATTGGTTTAACAGGCGATGTTAGCGCATGAGAAAATTTGAGAGCAGCTGCTTTAGTCTACAGAACTGGGTTTCAGCCATCTTCCCACAGCCTGAGATACTTGTGCAGCAGGTGGGGGCAGGGATGTGGATGTGATCTTGGTATCTGAGATGCTCGGAGGTGCCTGCTCTCAGCCACTGGTGTGGACAGTTCTCTAGCTGCTTGGCTCACAGCCTGTTGGACCTAGGTAGGGTCCATCCTGGCTTTGCTTTGACATTTAATCGTTCATTTCTAGGTATTTATTGAGCTCTTATTTGCTCCTGGCTTTGCTTTGACATTTAATCATTCATTTCTGGGTATTTATTGAGCTCTTATTTGCTCAGTTCTGTGGAGATTTAAAAAGGGTAAAGACAGGGTTAGGGGGGACCTGGTACTCAAATGGAGAGACATGTGAATAATTGACAAATAACTGTCTGGTCACATCACAGTAAAAAACAAATAATGTGGAAACATAGCCAGATAGATAACAGAGATACTGAAGCAGAGCTATGGGGTGCTGCTGTCTCAAAGGACGATGTGCCACAAAGAGCAGGTGGGTTCTCACCAGCGTACGGAACTGCACACAGAACAGTTCCTCACCACCTCGCTGACCAACCCAAGTGTTTTCCTCATTTTAGGGGATCCCAACAAGCCATCCGGATTCAGAAGTGTCAAGGCTCCAGTCACCAAAGTAGCTGCATCGATTGGAAATGCCCAGAAGCTGCCCTTGTGTGACAAGTGTGGCACCGGCATCGTGTGAGTACCCGCCTCCCAGGCTGGGCGAAGCGCGAGCTGGCCCTCGGCGGAGGGCGAGATGGCAGCAGGGGCGCCCACTGCCAGCAAACCGGGGCGGCGGCTCCCTGGGCCCAGGCACCCTCAGACAGGAGCATGTGGCCCAGAGTGGAGGGTCTTTGTGTAGAGGCGGGAGGGACTCCTGGAGGGCTTCCGGGCAGTCTCTCTGGACCCCAGGAGCGCAACCCCTTCCTTGCTGGAGGACAACTGGGATGCTTCATCCGCCCTTCGGGGCCTCCTGGGGAGAGCTTGGGGCCTCCAGAGGCCTTGCTTGTCTCACGGCGCCTCGCTCTCCCCCTGCAGGGGCGTGTTTGTGAAGCTGAGGGAACGTCACCGCCACCCCGAGTGTTACGTCTGCACCGACTGTGGCATCAACCTGAAGCAGAAAGGCCACTTCTTTGTGGAGGATCAGATTTACTGTGAAAAGCACGCCCGGGAGCGGGTCACACCCCCAGAGGGCTACGATGTGGTCACGGTGTTCCCCAAGTGAGCCGGGGTGGCTGAGCGCGGGCCTCCACTCAGCTTGCTCTCTGACGCTGTCCTCTCTGGGAGGTTCCTACTTACCCCCTCTGTTGATTAAGGCCACGGCCCCTCCCTTGCTCCCCGAGCCCACAGCTGCGTGGCGCCTGCTCCTACAGTGGATGGAAGGTTGTTCCATGTCCTGCAGCAAAGCCGTGTCTTTGCACCGTTCACCTCCTCTGCAGATGGACACCAGTCATTGGAACCCAACTGAATTCAGTATGTCTGGTCTTGATTCCATTTTTACTCAATAAATGAACAGGCTCCAAGGCGGTGTAGTGTCTGCTTATCATTTGGCCCCAAGTCCTATTTCCTGTCAAGAGGCCCCCTTCTCGTGAGGGTTTTCCACTGCTCTGAGATCTTCAAGACTTTTCCTCTAACACTGAGAAAACTGGCTTCTGAGCAAGTCATATTCTTCTACTTCTTTAAAGTTTGCACCACATGGGCTAATACAGCATCTGCAGTTATGCCGACATGAGTTTTCTTTCCACCTGGCTGTTCTGGGGGTTATCAGAGAAAATGAATAATTCTGAAGAATGGATGGAGCTCTTTGCCCACGGGCCTCAGTTACTCCCTGTGTCCTCTCTAGGTGGCCTGGCAGATGGCCAGGCTGTTCTGAAGTGCCCAAGTTGCAGAGGGAGGCCCGAGGAGCGTGCCCGCCAGAGCCACAGTGGCTGAGGTGTCACCCTCTCTAGTGAGGAGCCAGTGGTGAGGGTGGCAGCTTCCATAGTTTTCTCAGCTCTCTGCCATTTTGGGGACCGGATCTCACCAACAGAGGTATCACACAGAAAGCCACAGGGTATTAGACACCATTCTTACAGGACATTGGCAAAAATGAAACATCCTCCTACAGCGATACATACAACTGGAGAGGATAGCTGGAGCCCTGAACATTCTGTTTTAAGAACAATAGTAACCGTTTCCCCCATGAGCTGGTAAAAGAACCCTGGTTACAAAAGGAATTTTTCAGGACTTCTAAGTAGTCTTGCATTTTAACAGACATGGGAATCACTTTGGGACCCTGTTAAGATGCAGATTTCAATGTGCAAGGCCTGTAAGGCCAGCGACTGTTCTGGCAAGGTCTAAAGTTTTCTGATGCTCCTCGTCCATGCATCACATGTTAAGAGGCAATTTTTCCAGAACACTGGCTTGGACATACTTGGGGATCATATGGCTGCAATATTGTGGCTGCATTTAAGTTCACTGTTCAGGACTATACACTAATACTTTTTAAGTGCAGGTGGACACACAAAACAAAGCAAAATCCAGCTCTTCCATTATGAGAACAAAATGGTGGCTTCCACAGTGGAAGGAGGATGGAAGTAGAAGTCGGGAAAGGGGGCTCACCAATGTGATGGTGCATGGAATTACGCTGGGTGGAGACCATTATGTAGCATATACAGATGGCAAATAAATTGCTCTACACTGAGAACCTGTATGGTGTTACAAGCCAATGTCCCTTCAGTACAAATGTTCAAGTATTAATGGTTATATACAATAAAATTCCTGTCTTTTTCTTTAAGTGTTGATTACTGTGTACCCCTCAGTCAAGATAGAGACTATTGCCATCACCCCCTTTCCAGTCATTTTCCTCCCATCTCAGGCCCCACCCAGGCGTAGCACATTTGGGGTCGCCCAACTCAACCAGGCTCCCAGCGCCTTCCCTCTTGCCATCATGAGGGCGCTGAGCTGTGTCAGGGTCCAGGGCCCCAGAGCAGGCTGCGCTCCATGCCTGTGGCCTTGTGACCTTCACCCAAGCTTCTCGTTTGCCCTGAGCCATCCACACGTCCCATAAGGGCAGGGCCTCCGAGCCATTGGGTTTTGTGGGAGCTGCAAGGGAAACATGTTAATTTTCTGTCTAAAATGGAACGTGAACTGATGATACAATAAGTGGGAAGTGAGCGAGTAAACACAATTGGCTAGTTCATGGGCTCATCTTTAGGGTTTCATCCCTAGATGAAATGGTTAGATGTGCTAAGAAAACAAGCCGATGCATCCTTAGAGCTGGGAGACGGCCTATCAGTCAGGGTAACATAAACAACTTACAGGTTTCTAATATACAAGTCTACCCCTCCGCATTCATAAACAGCATCATCTTCAGTATTTTCTCCTCGAATCCCCGACTTCTGAAAAAGCCCAGGCTGAGGCAAGAGGCACTCTGGGAGCAGGAGGCTGGGCTGCCATTTCCTGGGCCCAGCCCTCTGACACCCATTGCCACAAACCCACAGGAACAGGGAGAGGGTCCAGCAAGGCAGAGAGGGGCTGGGCCACCTGGCAAGCTTGATTCCCTTGAATAGGAATTGACACCTCGTTCTCAGATGGGGACATACTGTGTCCACAGCACTGAAGGTCTTCAAGGTGAGAGTCTAAGATGAAAGAATGTGGTATCAGATGCCCAGAGAGGGGAGGAGGCAGGGGGCATGGGTTCACGTGATTTGATGAAGGATGAGTAGGACATGTGCACATATGGGAAAGACATCTTTTCATTAAAAAATGGGGTACAGCTCTCTCACTCGGGAGACAGTTCTCCAGACAGCATGACTCAGGGCTTCTAGTTGGTTTGCTACCAGAGCTCCAAGTCAGCGGAGCAGTTCAGAACAAAAGAGATCTGAGGAAGAGAAGGCATCTGATTGAAGGCAGGTGATTGGTTCTGTGAAGTGAAGTGGAAATACAAAATGCAGCTGTCAGAACTAAGCTATTGTAAAAACCATGTATCAGACTTGGGCAAGATGGCAGCAGAGTAAAGACGCCGAGATGCCTGCGTCAGGCTTGCACAGGAACTGAGGGCTGAAAACGGACTACAGACTTAAATAATATGAATTTCAACCCCAGTGAAAACATCCTGGACTCACTAGAAGGTAGATAACTGAGGAGGAATTGGCGATTGGGGAGTTCCGGTAAGGGAACTCCTGGGAAAACTCAGACACCTGGAAGTTCAGCGGGCTGCAGGAGCCGCTTTGCCCCTTGCTAAAGCCCTAGAGATGAAGGGGTTGGCTCAGCTTGGTGAGTGGAGCCCAGACTGAAGTAGGACTGCAAATCTGATCCGGAACACCTGGGGTACTGCTGGAAAACTGCTGAAACTGCAGACCCGGTAGGAGTACCTGGGCGCTGCCCAAAGCCACTGATGGACCAGCTCGACCAGCTCAGGAACGGGCAGAGTAAAGACGCCCAGACCACTATGTCCAAGCTCACACGGGAATATATAAAAACGGACTATAGACTTGCTGAGTTTCAACCTAAATAAGAACGCCCTGGACTCACTAGAAGGAATATATTGAGGGAGAATCAGGGGTTGGGGAGTTCCCATAAGGGAATTCCTAACTAGAAGCTCCACAGGCAAGATTAGCAGAACCCTGCAACTCTGATGGGGGAGTGCCAAGGCTTCCTGCTTATTCGGCTCCTTTAAAAATCTAGGTGCCTGGCCCTCCCTGGTGGCACAGCGGGTTAAAGCACTGCACTGAGAAGCTAAAGCCACTTCCGCATGAGTTCAATTCCCGCCTGCCCCGGAGGAGACCACATGGCGTGGCAGACCTCTCCTGACCCGCTCGCTGCTCCCCTCAGCAGTGTACTTCGTCGATCTGCCTGTTCTGCTCCCCACTCTGTCTCTGGTGAAGCCTCTCACCGCCCCTGCACTCTGGCCTGTACCCCAGTTCTGTATGTACAAATAAATAAATCTTTAAAAAAAAAAAAATCTAGGTGCCTGGAAGCCAGGAAGCAGCTGCAGAGGGAGACTGACGGGAGGTGGCAGCTGCGGCTGCACTGCACAGCGGCAGCAGCTTTCTGCCCCAGCCCTGCTACAGCCCTGGAGATAAACTGAGACAACTCAGCCCTGGAGATAAACTGAGACAACTCAGTGGGAAAAGGCTGCAGCTCGGAATCAGGAGTGCCCAGACCCGAGGATACGTGCAGAAGTGTTGCCATCCTTTGCCCCAGCAGCCCCGGCAAAGTCTTGGATATAAACTGAGACAGAGCAGCTAGGTGAGTGGATCCCAAGCTGCTGGGGTGGGTGGGGAATGCTCTATGTAGAGCCCAGGAGGTGGAGAAGAGGAACTGGCAATTGGGGCCCCTCTAGCCCTGCCCGCATCTTCTACCCCCCCCCCCCAACAAACATCTGAGAATAGGCAACATTAGGGTTTGGTCAGGCCTTCACGCCATTCTTAAGGAGTGGTCAGCAAGACTCACAAAGCCCCTGAGTTAAAGAGGGAAAAAACAAACAAACAAACAAACAAACAAACGGTTAGACAGGACCCAACCACAGGCCCAATCCTAGGGAAATGCAACAACTTTAACAATCTTCCATGGACACATTCAACATAGAGAGGCCCTAAGAAGTGCCTCAAATGGGGAGACTTGCTGAGGGGTCTATCTGCTTACTGCATCTACCCACAAAAACTGTGGTAAAACCCTGGAGTTAAAGAGATACAGCTGGGCTCTGTGAGAGGAGCTCAGGCAGTGGGGAGGCACTGCTCAGGGAGGGACTCTTTGAACTAGACACAAAGATCCCTGAAAGCTCAAGGGAGGACTGGCAACCTGCTCAGCTGGGAGAATTTCAACCCTCTGGCACTTCCCTGCACTGTGTGGGAAGGGGAGATCCGCCCCCACAGCAGAGGTGGGAGGACTTGGGAGCCAGGAAAGCTCACAGTACTTAGAGAGTAAACAAAACCAGCCACCAACTCAGCCACAGGCCCAGTTCCAGGGAGACCTACAACACTTCTAATACATCATAACCACCATGGGCACACAAAACTTAGAGGGAACCTGGGACATCCGAAGACTACAAAGATAACTACAAAGATAAACAGACGCCTTCCAGTGTTGGGCCAAACCAGTAATTCTGCCCTCCACCTTCCTTTGTGTCTGTGTGACCCCTCCCTAAGCCCAGACAGATATGGAGGCAGATACCACACCCTAGCGTTAATTCCTGGGACAAATCGAAATTGGATTCTGATATCAGCGCTGAGATATCTATTCCTGGAAACACGCTCTTGTGTGATTGAACTGTGACCTAGCTTTGACTCTTGTTAATCTTTGAATTCCTTTGCTAAGTTGAATTTGTGCGGGCTATGACTCATGTAAGGCCAATGAGGCCTATATATTCCCTGACATCCCTCTGGTCCGGGTATTGCTTCCCTTGTGTGGCTTGTGTGCCTGCAAGAAAGCTTGAGCTAGCTGGCTCAATAAACTCTGCTTGCTTGTGCATCACTGGTCCTGTCTTTTGTCGCGGGAGGCAACCGGGTGATTTCAGACCTTAACACCAGAAGCACGGACTCAA